TTCTTTTTTTTTTTTTTTTTACAGAGGATCAGTTTAGTATGCATTCAGTAAAGATTTCAACAGTTTGCACCCCCATAGAAACACAAACTGCAATATATTATTTGAGTACTCGTTATAGCATTAAATCTCAATGCACAGCACATTAAGGACCGAGATCCTACATGAGGAGTAAGTGCACAGTGACTCCTGTTGTTGACTTTACCAATTGACACTCCTGTCTATGGCATCAGTAATCTCCCTATGCTCCAGTCATGAGTTTCCAAGGCTATGGAAGCCCCTTGAGTTCTCCGACTCTTATCTTGTTTAGACAAGGTCATAGTCAAAGTGGAGGTTCTCTCCTCCCTTCAGAGAAAGGTACCTCCTTCTTTGAAGACCTGTTCTTTCCACTGAGATCTCACTCACAGAGATCTTTTGCCAGAGTGTCTTGGCTTTCCATGCCTAAAATACTCTCATGGGCATTTCAGCCGGATCCGTATGCCTTAAGGGGTGATTCTGAGGCCAGAGTGCTGTTTAGGACATCTGCCATTCTATGAGTCTGTTGTGTATCCCGCTTCCCATGTTGGATTGTTCTCTCCCTTTTGATTCTATCAGTTAGTATTAGCAGACACTAGTCTTGTTTGTGTGATCCCTTTGATTCTTAGACCTATCAGTATGATCAATGGTGAACTGAAATTGATCACTTGGACTAGTGGATGGCATTGGTACATGCCACCTTGATGGGATTGATTTGGAATCCCCTGGCACGTTTCTAACTCTACCATTTGGGGCAAGTCAGCTTGAGCATGTCCCAAATTGTACATCTCCTCCCTCTCTTATTCCCACTCTATATATTTAACAGGGATCACTTTTCAGTTAAATTTAAACACCTAACAATAATTGTGTGTTAATTACAGAGTTCAACCAGTAGTGTTAAGTAGAACAAAAAAATACTAAAAGGGATAAAGTATTAAGTTGTGCATCAACAGTCAGGACAAGGGCTGATCAAGTCACTGTTTCTTATAGTGTCCATTTCACTTCAACAGGTTTCCTTTTTGGTGCTTGGTTAGTTGTCACTGATCAGGGAGAACATATGATATTTGTCCCTCTGGGACTGGCTTATTTCACTCAGCATGATGTGTTCCAGATTCCTCCATTTTGTTGTAAATGACTGGATTTAATTGTTTTTTTACTGCTGTATAGTATTCTATAGAGTACATGTCCCATAATTTCTTTATCCAGTCTTCTGTTGATGGGCATTTAGGTTGATTCCAGGACTTAGCTATTGTGAATTGAGCTGCAATAAACATTAATGTGCAGACAGCCTTTTTGTTTGCCAATTTAATTTCCTTTGGGTAAATTCCAAGGAGTGGTTGTATGGTAGGGTTATATTCAGGTTTCTGAGGAATCTCCAAACTGACTTCCATAGTGGCTTTACCAGTTTGCAGTCCTACCAACAGTGGGTTAGTGTCCCTTTTTTTTCATTTTCGATTCTCTTTATATACAGATCAGTTTAGCATACATTAAGTAAAGATTTCAACAGTTTGCTCCCACACAGAAACATATAGTGAAAAATAATAGATGATTTTTTAAATGATGATGAAATCAGATCAGACCTCTCCAGCATCTATTGTTGGTAGATTTCTGAATGTGAGCCATTCTCACCGGGGTGAGGTGAAACCTCATCGTGGTTTTGATTTGCATTTCCCTGATGGCTAGTGATCTTGAACATGTATTCATGTGTCTGTTGGCCCTTTGGATTTCCTCTTTTGAAAAATGTCTATTGAGGTCCTTGGCCCATCTCTTAACTGGGTTGTTTGTTTTGTTGCTGTGGAGTTTCTTGATCTCTTTGTAGACTCTGGTTATTAACCCTTTATCCTTTGCATAGTTTGCAAATATTTTCTCCCATTCTGTCAGTTGCCTCTTCACTTTCATGGCTGTTTCTTTTGCAATACAGAAACTTCTCAATTTGATGCAATCCCAGTTGTTAATTTTGGCTTTGACTGCCTGTGCTTCTGGGGTCTTTTCCAAGAAGTCTTTGCTGGTACCTATATCTTGCAGGGTTTCTCCAATGCTCTCTAATAATTTGATGGTGTTGGGTCGTAGATTTCGATCTTTAATCCATGTTGAGTGGATTTTTGTGTAAGGTGTAAGGTATGGTCTTGCTTCATGCTTCTGCATGTGGAAATCCAGTTTTTCCAGCACCATTTATTGAATAGACTGTCCTTACTCCAGGGATTGGTTTTGGACCCTTGATCAAATATAAGTTGGCTGTAGATGTTTGGATTGATTTCTGGTGTTTGTGTTCTGTTCCATTGGTCTATCCATCTGTTTCTGTAAAAGTACCATGCTATTTTGATTACAACTGCCCTGTAGTATGCCCTGAAATCTGGTATTGTGATGCCTCCGGCTTTGTTTCTGTTGTACAGGATTGCTTTAGCTATTCGAGGTCTCTTGTGTCTCCATATGATTTTCAGCATCATTTTTTTCAGATCTGAGAAGAATGTCTTTGGTATTTTGATTGATGTCGCATTGAATCTATAAATTGCTTTTGGGAGAATGGACATTTTGATGATGTTGATTCTTCCAATCCATGAGCATGGAAGATTTTTCCATTTTTTGCTGTGCTATTTCTTTCTTTAAGATTTTGTAATTCTCATCGTAGAGATCTTTAATGTCCTTGGTTAAGTTTATTCCAAGGTATTTGATTGTTTTTGTGGCTATTGTGAATGGGATTGATCTTAGAAGTTCTTTCTCAGCCATGGCATTGCCTGTGTATACAAAAAAAATATATATATACTTTTAAATATATATATTTAAATATATAAATTAAATATATAAATTAAATATATAAATATATTAAATCAAAGTTGATGCTTTCAGCATCCATTTATTGGCTGGAATAGGGAATATGGTCCCATTTTAAAGGTGAGAAAAGCAAACCTAGAATGGTGCAATGGCTGCAGCAAATAGTCAACAAGTTCATAGGAAGGTAGGATGAAGGTCTATTCTTGTGTCTCAAATCTTAATCAAATCTTAATTGTAAATATTTTTTAAAATCCATATATCTTTCATAGAATTTTCTGTAGAGGGGTCAGTGTTGTGACACAGTGGGTTGGGGCACCACTTGTCACACTGGCATCCCATATCAGATCCAGTCCTGGCTGTTCTGCTTCCAATGCAGCTTCCTGCTAATGCACCTGAAAAGACAGTGGATAATGGCTCAAGTGCTTGGACCCCTGCCACCATTGTGGGAGACTTAGATGGAGTTTCTAGCTCCTGGCTTCAGCCTGGCCCAACTCTGGCAATTGAGGCAATTTGTGGGGTGAAGCAGTGGATGGAAGATCTCTCTCTTTGTCACTCTGCCTTTCAATAAAATAAAAAATACTTAAATAATTTTCTATAGGATGGTGGAGTACATTAACAGGAGCTAGAGTAGATCCTGATTATTTTATTTGTCCTTTCAGCAAAAGGGTGAATCATGTCTACGAAGGCCAGCAGGACTGAATCCAGAAAGAGAAGAGAATCGAAAAAGGATAGTTCATGGGCTGAAAAAATCTTCAACCACAAATCCTATATCACCTTCCTTACTGGCTGCTACAGTTGCCACTGGAAATTCAGACAGTGGGAAAAAACCAAACTTGGATCGTGTTGCTGTTCTCGGGTACAGAGAGATGGGGTGGATCTGTGCCGTACATTGTCCAATATGAGGAGCAAAGACGGGTCCTTGGCTCTATGAAGGTTCATTAGAGTCTCCAGGACTGTAGGTTCTGGGGCTCCAGTTCTTCCATAAAAATACTGCATCAATTTTAGAGCCAAAGTTAAACTTCTTGACATGTAATTGATGTATTCATTTTCTTTATTTATTTTTTTTACTGTTACATATATGCATTCCATTAACCTTGAAAGAGTGAGGTTTGGGTACAATTAGATGTTTCTCTGTAGGGATTACAGGAATACCTGAATACTTAATCTTTTTTTAAAAAATTTATTTTATTTATTTGAAAGAGTTACAGAGAGAGGTAGAGACAGAGAAGGGTCTTCCATCAGCTGGTTCACTCCCCAGATGACCGCAATGGCTGGAACGGCGCTGATCCGGAGCCAGGAGCCAGGAGCTTCCTCTGGGTGTCCCACATGGGTGCAAGGGCCCAAGGACTTGGGCCATCTTCCCCTGCTTTCCCAGGCCATAGCAGAGAGCTGGATTGGAAGAGGATCAGCCGGACTAGAACTGGCAGCCATATGGGATGCCAGCAATCCAGGCCAGAGATTTAACCCGCTGCACCACAGCACCAGCCCCTGAATCTTTAATCTTTAATTCACTCTCCTCTGTGAATTTCCCAACAGTTATATTTGTAAGAAACAAACTGCCAGCCAGCCAGCAAGTGGTAAACAAGATGCCTTTGTTATTGATCAAGCTAGTACCTGATTTTTCCTGATAAACTCTCTAGTAAGGCTGGAGATGGCATATGGCCCAGCCCTACTGAGAGCCTTTATCTTTCTCTAAGCCTTATGTTGGGACTCTCTAGTGGACTGTATGGTATAAGAGATCAAATGATGAGCACACTGAAGTGAGATGAGGACAGCCAAATCATGTACATACATTAGTTATAAACAAGATTCAACTAGGGTGCAAGAATCTGACCAATTGGAACTCTAATTGCTTATATCTGTGTTTGGAAGCACAAGGAAAAGGATAAGATACAGAAGACTGCCCTAGATAGGCACAAATGTTAGTCTGTCCTCATATTTTTCCTGTCCAGATGCTTCTATCCTATTTACTGTGCCATTTATGTGGTTTTTTTTTTAAATTCTCACAATAACCTTAGCATTTATACAGGCATGTTATATTCCTTGTTTTTAACAGAGTAAAAACAACATCCCAAAGAGTTAGAATTTCTCATTTATGTGATATGGAGGCTTTTAAGATTACAATTCAGATGACAGTTGAAATCTAATCTCCCCAGAAAGAATTTGGCAACTTGTGGTGTGACTGTTTTGTGATTTTTTTCAGTGATGAGGATAACTGTGAAGACTCAATGTAATACCTCCTTCATTGGACTGATGCTGTAGCATTGTAGGTTAACCTTCCGCCCCCAGCACTGTCATCCCACATGGGCACAGGTTGAGTCCTGCTGCTCTGCTTCCCTTTCAACTACCTGCTAGGGAGAGCAGTGGAGGATGGCCCAAGTGCTTGGACCCCTGCACCCACGAGGGAGACCCAGAAGAAGCTTCTGGTTCCTGGCTTCAAATTGGCCCAGCTCCAGCTACTACAGCCATTTGGAGTGAACCAGTGGGTCAAGACCTCTCTCTCTGTTTCTCTCTCTCTCTATCTTTAAATCTGCCTCTCAAATAAATAAATCTTGATTGAAAAAAAAAAACCCAACCTCTTCCTTAAAGATACCCTGCATCCTTGCTTTGACCCCATATGGATATAGGTTCCACTCCTGCCCCTGCCGCTTCTTGGCTGGGTGATCTTGAGTCAATTACTTTACCTATCTGCAAAATGAGGTTAATGATACCTAACTCCCACAGCTCATATGAGAAACAAATCAAATGCAAATGCCTTGTGAGAAGTATCATTATGCTCCTAAAACTATATATGAAATTATTCTCTTTATATAACTAAAAGTAGATAGAGAAAATAAAGAAACTGGCTTGTGAAGTCCCTAGCATTGTTCTGGAACAAAATAGCTACTAAAAATGTTTATTCTATTACACCTTGTCTAAACAAGATAAGAATCGGAGAACTCAGAGGGCTTCCATAGCCTTGGAAACTCATGACTGGAGCATAGGGAGATTACTGATGCCATAGACAGGAGTGTCAATTGGTAAAGTCAACAACAGGAGTCACTGTGCACTTACCCCTCATGTAGGATCACTGTCCTTAATGTGCTGTGCATTGAGATTTAATGCTATAACGAGTACTCAAACAATATATTTCACTTTGTGTTTCTATGGGGGTGCAAACTGTTGAAATCTCTACTTAATGTATACTAAACTGATCCTCTGTAAAAAAAAAAAAAAAAGAAAGAAAGAAAGAAATTATCAACTCCCAACTTGACTCTCACTGGGATTAAACATGACAATAGATCGGATCTGATTTCATCATCATTTAAAAAAAAATCATCTATTATTTTTCACTTTATGTTTCTGTGTGGGAGCAAACTGCTGAAATCCTTACTTAATGTATACTAAGCTGATCTTCTGTATATTAAGATAATCGAAAATGAATCTTGATGTGAATGGAAGGGGAGAGGGAGTGGGAAAGGAGAGGGTTGTGGGTGGGAGGGACGGTATGGGGGGGAAGCCATTGTAATCCATAAATCGTACTTTGGAAATTTATATTCATTAAATAAAAGTTAAAAAAAAAGAAAAAAGAAAAAAAAAGAAAAAAGAAAAAAAATGTTTATCCTATTACTCTGGTTCTTCTTTCTACTACTAAGTGGATAGATAACTGACTAAATGACCTGACGGATGATGAGTGAATGAATTCATAAATGGACCACCAAACATTTGGTAGAAGGGAAATTGGATGGATTCAATTGATGGTTGTTGAGAGCAAACTACATTCAAAACACCCTGCTAGGTATTTTAAGTATAGAGATACTTCAAAGTAAAAACAGTGTGGCATCAGACACAAACATATAAGTGCATAATTATAGTTCAGTGTAGTTTAATAAATGGGCATATACAGGTTTATTTGAGGTAAAGAGAAAAGAGTGGTCACTCGACCCTGTGGAGGGTAATGCATGGCAGTGTGTCTATCCTAAACTTTGACAGTGGTATACAGACATTGTCGAGGTAACCTGGATAAATAGAGCTAACACCCAGTTCTTTCTCTTCCCAGACAGAGCAAGTCTGTTGTGTTATCCTGGTCATTTCATTTGTCTTATCTGTGATTTTGCTGTTTGTGTGGATAGAAATCTCAAATGAATATTTCGGCTTTGATTGGTAAGCTGCATCTTTTCTATTTTCATTTATGTAAGAACTCTTTGGTCTGATAGCTACATGAATTTTACCTCAGTTTGGAAACTGGTGGCAAGTAGGGAAGGTGGACAACATTGGGGTTTTCTACAACTTATGGGGGAGACGCCTGACTCAGGCAGAAGCAGAATGCTTAGCACCTTAGCCTGTTTAAACGTTCTCTCTACCTGTGCTTCATCCCATTCTTGGTCTGTATCTCAGATAATGACCATTCCTTCTCAGAAAATGATTCCCTGACATCTGTTTCCCATTCTGTTTTCTCTAATACCTGCACCAGTTGGACTTCGTGATCTCTGTCCTCAAGCTCTGACCTCTCTGCATCTCCAACAGTCTCTACTGCTGCCTCCTGTTCTTAGGTCACTTACTGGCACTCTGAACACAAGGACAGATGTTGTGTCTCAGTACCTTCTCATAGCCAAATTCCTGCTCCTGGACTGCCCCCAGACATTACTGTTTTTCTGGCCTTATACTTCTAACCTTGCTGCAAATTTTATCCATTATTTGGGATTTGGGTGGAGAAGGTTTAATTTGAGTATGAGACTTATTTTTTTTAATAATATTTATTTATTTGTTTGAAAGGCAGAGTGACAGAGAAAGGAGAGACAAAGTTTGATCAATCTTCCATCAACTTGTTCATTGGCCAGATGACCATAGCAGCTAGTTTGGGGCCAGGCTAAACCCTGGGAGCAAGAACTTTTCAAATGGGTCTCTCACATATGTGGCAGTTCCCAGGCATATTAGCAGAAAGCAGGATTGGAAGCAGAAAAGCCAGGAGTGGAATCTTTTTTTAATTGAAACAGTGTGTTTTATGCAATGGAGAAGTGAAATATGTCTTTTTATTATACATGTTTAAAAAGTAGAAAAAAATGAAAATACCTGCTTAGCTACATTTTCAAATAACAATCTGTTAAAAAAGGCTGTTGCCCAGCCTTTTTGCTTTTCTTATTTTTATAATACTATGTTCATACTATATATGTATATAATTTTGCATAAAGTTTTGTATAAAACTCCTAAATAATATAGCTTAAAATAGTTTCAGAATATCTCATGGCATGAAAATGCTACAATGCACTTAGCTATTTTTTTATTGTTGGGCAATATAAGTGCTTCCAATTTTCTTGTTTTTATAGAATAATGCAAAGAAATATTCATATTTAGACTAATGTTCTTAGATTCCCATAAGTGGCATTATTGAGTCAACAACAGTAAGCACCATAAAAATCATTATGCATATTCCCAAAGTATTTTCTCAGAAGGTTATAAGAGTTTCCACTTGACAAAAGGGATATTCAATAGTTTCTATTTTAATTCACTATTGACAAGCATTAAATGTTCTGATTTTAAACACTTTTACAATTTCTTCATGAGATTATTTTCTTGATTTTTCAACAAGTTATAAACTTTCAAAACTGTTTTATTTAACATAATCTTCATGTCTGCTTGTTTTTCTTCCTTTGCCCACTTTTATCCCTTGGTTTTTTCATCAGTTTATATCCAATCTTATAGACCAGACCTAGATTATTATAGCACTTGTATTTCAATCCATTTCACTTGTACTTCAAATTGAAATATTTATTTCTTTATAATTTAAAAATATCTGACTCTCTGATCCACACTTGACAAAATTTGTGTAAAATCTAATATCCTTATTTTTCTGACTCTTTCTTCATTCATAAGTCCTAGTGTGGTTGGTGGTGAGGAAATCCTTTAGGAATCATTCTACATTGGTCACTTTGTTCATTCCTACTTCTGTTATAGGATGCCCACATTAAGCACTGGCCCTGAATCACTTTGTGGAAGTATTCCTCACAATTTTGCACTGGAAACCCTCACCATTACTTCTAAGAACCTAGATGCTTACTGGCCCTTCTATAGTTTTCCCTGCAGCACCCGTTTGTAATCCTCTACTGCTAGGCATTGTAGAAGTTGAGCACCATTATGATTTCCAATGAAGTGTTCAATTCTAATGCAGAGTTACTCTGTTTTTTTTTTTTTTTTTTTTTGAGTAGGCATAATCTCTTTTTTTGTTCATATACTTTTACCTTTAAAATAGTAGTTTTATATGCTATTAATATTTCTTTTTATGTCTTCCCTAAAAATGATTCTAGGAGATTTTTAATCATCAAAAATGAATTAGATAGCCAAAGTTTTAATCTTATCAGTCACATAAAGCATTGTGACTCAACATCACAATATAATGCTTGTTTGTACTTACATGGTACCAGAACTTTTAACATAAATAAGAAAACATGAAATTATGTCCTTGGCAGAAAAATGGATGGAACTGGAGGATATCCTGCTAAGTGAAAACAAACTGGGCATAAAAAGAAAACTCTACATGTTCTCTGTCATATGCAGGAGCTGATAAAGCTTACTATGAACACAGAATAGTAATTGCTAGAGGGCAGGAGGGGTAGGAGGTTAATAGGGAGTTTTATAATGGGAAACAAGTGATAATACTTCCATACTAGCTTTGTGTGATTTGTTTTTTTCATATTTTGCCTTTAAAAAAAACATTTCAGTATGTTTTGGAAATTTTTCTTCTAAATAGCCTGTGGGTTTTTTTTTAAATAAAACTTTCATTTAATAAATATAAATTTCGAAAGTACAACTTTTGGATTATAGCTATTTTCTCCCCACAACCACCCTCCCACCCGTAAACCATCCCATCTCCCATTCCTCTCCCATCCCATTTTCCATTAAGATTCATTTTTAATTATCTTTATATGCAGAAGATTAACTTAGCATATACTAAGTAAAGATTTTAAAAGTTTGCACCCACACAGACACAAAAAGTATAAAGTACTGTTTGAAGACTAGTTTTACGGTTAATTCTCATAGTATAACATATTAAGCATAGAGATCCTACATGGGGAAGGTGTACAGTGACTCCTGTTGCTGATTTAACAATAACACTCTTATTTATGACATAGGTGATCACTTGAGGCTCTTGTCATGAGCTGCCAAGGCTATGGAAGCCTCTTGAGTTCACAAACTTGACCTTATTTAGACAAGGCCATAGTCAAAGTTTAAGTTCTCTCTTCCCTTCAGAGAAAGGTACCTCCTTCATTTATGGCCCGTTCTTTCTACTGGGATATCACTCACAGAGATTTTTCATTTAGGTCATTTTTTGGCCACAGTGTCTTGGCTTTCCATGCTTGAGAAACTCTTGTGGGCTTTTAGCCAGATCCGAATGCCTTAAGGGCTGATTCTGAGGCCAGAGTGCTGTTTAGAGCATTTGCCAATCTATGAGTCTGCTGTGTATCCCATTTCCCATGTTGGATAGTTCTCTTCTTTTTAATTCTATCAGTATTATTAGAAGACACTGGTCTTATTTATGTGATCCCTTTGACATTTAATCCTATCTTTATGATCGATTATGAACTTAAACTGATCACTTTAACTAGTAAGATGGCTTTGGTACCTGCCAACTTAATGAGATTTGGAGTCCCATGGCATGTTTCTAACTCTACCATTTGGGGTAAGTCCGAGTGAGCATGTGCTCAACTGTACATCTCCTCCCTCTCTTATTCCCACTCTTATTTTTAACAAGGATCATTTTTCAGTTGAATTTAAACACCTAAGAATAATTGTGTGTTAATTAAATTGTTCATCCAATGGTATTAAAGAAAAAGAAAATACTAAAAAGAATAAAATAGTAAGCTGTTCCTTGGCAGTCAGGGCAAGGGCTGATCAAGTCATTGCTTCTCATAGTGTCCCTTGCACTTCTACATGTTTCCTTTTAGGTGCTCAGTTAGTTGTCATAGTTCAGGGAGGACATATAATATTTGTCCCTTCGAGACTGGCTTATTTCACTCAGCATGTTTTCCAGATTCCTCCATTTTGTTGCAAATGACTGTATTTCATTTTTTTTACCACTATGTAGTCTATAGAGTACATATCCCATAATTTCTTTATCTAGTCTTCTGTTGATGGGTATTTAGGTTGATTCCATGTCTTAGATATTGTGAATTGAGCGGCAATAAACATTGAGTTGCAGACAGCTCTTTTATTTGCCAATTTAATTTCCCTTGGGTAAATTCTGAGAAGTGGGATGGCTGGGTCGTGTGGTAGGGCTATATTCAGGTTTTGAAGGAATCTCCAAACTGTCTTCCATAGTGACATTACCAGTCTGCATTACCAACAACAGTGGATTAGTGTGCCTTTTTCCCCACATTCTCACCAGCATCTGTTGTTAGTTGATTTCTGTATGTAAGCCATTGTAACTGGGGTGAGGTGAAACTCATTGTGGTTTTTATTTGCATTTCCCTGATGGCTAGTGATCTTGAACATGTTTTCATGTGTCTGTTGGCCATTTGGATTTCCTCTTTTGAAAAATGTCTGCCCACCTCTTAAGTGTGTTGTTTGTTTTGTTGCTGTGGAGTTTCTTGATCTCTTTGTAGATTCTGGTTATTAATCCCTTATCAGTTACATAATTTACAAATATTTTCTCCCATTCTATCTGTTGCCTCTTCACTTTCATGGCTGTTTCTTTTGCAGTACAGTAACTTCTCAATTTTATGTAATCCCAGTTGTTAATTTTGGCTTTGACTACCTGTGCTTCTGGGGTCTTTTCCAAGAAGTCTTTGCTGGTACCTATATCTTGCAGAGTTTCTCCAATGCTCTCTAATAATTTGATGCTGTTGGGTCGTAGATTTCGATCTTTAATCCATGTTGAGTGGATTTTTGTGTAAGGTGTAAGGTATGGTCTTGCTTCATGCTTCTGCATGTGGAAATCCAGTTTTTTCCAGCACCATTTATTGAATAGACTGTCCTTACTCCAGGGATTGGTTTTGGACCCTTGATCAAATATAAGTTGGCTGTAGATGTTTGGATTGATTTCTGGTGTTTGTGTTCTGTTCCATTGGTGTATCCATCTGTTTCTGTAAAAGTACCATACTGTTTTGATTACAACTGCCCTGTAGTATGCCCTGAAATCTGGTATTGTGATGCCTCCGGCTCTGTTT